CTGCTGAGGCAGGTAAACCGAGAATATGTACAAAGGTGTGTCAGCTTTAATTTTGATACATACGATTCTGTCAGTGTACATTTTAGACATGGGTATTACACAATGAGCAAGTGATTTTTTATAAAAAATACCTACACCGCCATGCCCTGTTAAAGTACCACAATTAGAGTTACAAAGCATTCTACTACTTCTACCAATACACTCGAAATTCATTTTGGTGCAGTATATACTATATTTGGTATAGGTAATGGCTGTTGTCATAAATTAATTTAAGACCAGTACGTTTATTAACTGACGAATTTAGAGGAGGTAAATCTTTACTAAATATTTTATTAAGTACCAACTTGTGACCTGATAAGTAAAACAAAAACTATTAAAAATGTGTGTTGTTAAATAGTTCATTGTTTATAGTTTTATTGTATCTTATAAAATCATTTTTGTGTTCCATAGTATTATTTTAATATTACAGAACATTATATTATTTCACGTTTTCCGCGTGGGCATCAGGTTTCACCTTTATACTGTGGTGCAGAGTGGCTAGGTCAAGGTCATAAATGACTTGAACAATGTCCACGTGAATGTGATATCGTACTTCTATTTTAATTAAAAGTAATATTCTCATTTATAAAAAGCATTAGGCTTTAATATGTTCAACTAGTAAGGTTCAATGAATACAAAGTTTATAATGCTGTACACAAAGCAATAGCCTTTAAGCATCAGTGTTGATTGCCAAGTTTTAGCTGATAGAAAGTTTAATACGCTTGAGTGAATACCAGTACAGAATCATGTTATGCAGAAATCATACACTAATCCCACTTTTTATTGTGTTCGATTTGCACATTTTCAGCCAATGACAACTTTGTAATAACTTGTATTTGAATATACACCAATCCCACTTTACATTGTGTTCAATTTGCACAATTTCAGCCAATGACAAGTTTGTAATAATTTGTATTTGAATATAAACCAATCATAATTTGTGAGCTCCTAAAGGGACATATTCCTTTTAGCATGAGTGTAAAACTTGATTTCCAATATAAAAGCTACACCTAGATTTATTTCAATCAGTCCCAACATTTTGATACAAAGTTTTGCTGCAGTAGGAGTTACAACAAAAACAGGTTAGTCAGAAATCAAAATCATTACTTTTATAGAGTAGTTTTACTTGCTAAGAATTGACAAGTCAGATATATTTTGTACCAAATAAATGCATCTTGTTACTTAGAATAACGTTAGTGTTAGCTTGGGGAATTTCCGTTTCTTCTATACACAATCTTTGTACAAAATTACAAATCCAATATGGCGTCTCGTTGAACTTTGAACTATAACCATGTGCTTCAACATACATAGTCCTTTGAACTATAACCATGTGCTTCAACATACATAGTCCTTTGAACTATAACCATGTGCTTCAACAGACATAGTCCTTTGAACTATAACCATGTGCTTCAACAGACATAGTTCTGTATGGCTGTGTGCTTCAACTGACATATATCTTTATGACCATGTGAGTGTACACATGTTCTCATCATTGGACATTATATCCAACGTCAATGAACATTATGCTATTATTTATTCCAGTGTGAGATGAACATGTAAAGCTGCCAACATAAAATACCAATGTGCAGTTATCAACTGCGTAAGTGTATTACTAGTATTCCCTATAATCATCACATTGTGCAGTGATGTGATTTTGAATTTGTGTATTTATGTAAACGCGGTAACTTTATTTAATGATTAACATTTGTTTCATAAAGAAACGATGGTCTGTTTGTGTGATTTTATGTTTTGTTTGTATATATGTTATTGTTTGTTGTTTTTGTTTCCAGACATTGGTATATTTAACAATAAAGACAATTTTAAACCTACAATACGTGTTATTGATCTATACGCACATACGTCCACCTTCTGAGTGTGCTACACATGTATGAAAACACCAATATCCGACAATATCATCATGAGTTCTTTAGAAATAAACTATTTTCCATAGTTGAACTGTCACTCGACTGATAGTGTCAGATAAGTGATTTGTATTGTACACAATATATAGCAACATCTATGCTTGCATTTTATATCAAAATAAGCATAAGTTGTACTACGTTGGTATCATATTCTTGTTCTTTTCTGGTAATTTTAAACGTTGGATATACGTAACCGATCTTAATCTTTAGAATACCATTCTACCAAAACTTACCTTTCAATTGTTTCACGTACTGAGGCAGACCTTGTAAATATTGCTGTACAATTGTTCGCCTTTCTAATCCCGGAGTTACATGTACGTGGTGTTTCAGGTTAGTTTTATGGAATATATATAACAATGGCGTGACCGGGTTGGTTTGTATTAACTGCACGTATCTACATTCGTGTGTTATTGTTTATCATCCAATGGCATTAACACAATCAACCACAAAACAATTCGTGTCCACGTTCTTTGGCAAGATTTGAATAATAATTGTTTTGATGAAACCGCTTAGAAACGTGTATTTATGTATATTGGAGGTTTTATGGAATACCTTACAATATGGTAGGCACGTCGGTTAGTTTAAAACTGCAAGTATACACATCCAAATTATATTGTTCATCGTTCAATGACATTTAACAAACCAGGACACACTTGATTAATGCTCGAGCTCTTCGGCAAGACTCAAATAACAATTGTTTCCATGCAACCATCAAAACATTGATATGATTGTATTGATAGTAAATTCATTTTAATATTGTTATTTTGTATTGGTTTGCAGACTTCCATGTATAATTCAACGATAATAGTTTTAACAATTTTCATTATAACAGTGTATGCACGAGTGTATTCATAAACATCATATATTCTATAAACGATATAATAAAAAACGCTTAAATTTGATAATATACATTCGTAATGAAGCCAGACATAACTGCTTCACAAAATGATGGGGCATCTAAACCCCGGGATAATCTGTCATGACTAAAATCCTGACATGCTTTTTATCTACCAAAAAGCATTCAAAATTCATTCTATACACCACGTAGTGCACATCCTGTTGGAAATTTTGTGGTTTTCCCCAAACCGATGACTATTCTATCCTTTTTAAGCCGACGTCTGTTGATGAGATATGATTTACATCTTTCTGAGGTTAATTACGTTGATAAACAAGTAACAAACAAGAATGAGCTTTAATGAATGATGTTGAGTGCAATACCTGTATATATTTCTGAGGGTGTATTCCACGCAGCCCGAAGGTCAGATTTGTATTATCACTCATTTACGCATACATATTACAGTTTAACAATATTCATTCATTAACTATATGTCTCAAAAATTGTGAATGTGAATAAACAATACTACATGTGGCACAGCAGCCAATAAACGTGACGTCACATTCATTGAATACCTGTATTATCACTACAGAGAAATAATAATTATAAATATTTTACATCTAAGGTTATTCTCAGTTATTTGGATGTGAAACAACGATATAATCACTGTTCCACAACTAGTTACTTTGACGGAACGTCGATGTAACAAAATGGATGAACTTCCTGGTTACTAGTTTTTTGTTTTCTCGATTTAAACCTACTTACACGTCAAGTTGCAGATTATAATTTGGCACAAAGCTAGAAAATATAGTCTTGATTTAATGAGTTTCTTCGATTTATATTGTTAATAAGTTGCAATTCATAAATTCAGTCCCTCGCTTTTGTTACATTGACGAAAGTCCATTATATTACCAATGGATGTTACTTTGACGACTTTTATTACCAATGTATGTTACTTTGACGACTTACGTCAATGTAACAAAAATGATGGTCTAAATGCATGAATTACAGCTTAATTTAATAATCAAATTCCAAACCGAGAGCAGCGCTATCTAGTGTTTGATAAATGAATCGAGGTTAATTATCGATAGGTTAAGTACTAGCCTATCAGGAAACATTTCCAAGTTTGTTTAGAAACAAAATTTCTAGAGTTTGGCAGAATAATATTCTTAAACAGGTAGCTTTGCGATGGTAGCTCCAGGTTAATTAATCTCAAATTCTGCGTGGCCACCGTATCCGTATCATTATCTTGTAGGAACAAGCTAGGTAAGCCTTTAATGAACACCGGGAACTGCTGTGCTGTGCCTAGCTAACTAATTAAGAAATGAAACGTTATAATGGTTCCAAATGGGATTTTAACAGCACACTTCATCCAACTATTTTCTAAGATGCTGTTTATTGTGATAAATATTAAGACAAAGGAACAGTATTTTATGGTTCAAAAACAGCAACTTCACAGAGTGTGAGAATGCGTTGAATGCTAAAATGCTGTTGTAGTCTTACGTAGCGCCCGTATAAACCATGAGGACATTTAAACATCCGCCAGTCACGTCCGCATGTTCCTAAGGTACTTTTCTGATGATAGCATAGTTCCCAAGTCACATTATCCTTACTCACTTCAATTTTGAAATTTTGTAGTTGTTCTAAAAATATTATTTAAGTTGGAAATTTAAAGTAGGTCACGGAAAACAAAATGTATTTCTCAGTATCAAAATAATGATGAATGGATCAAAACTGCCAATACTGAATATTGGTGAATTGCGAAAATAAAACTAGTTAGTTCTTTTATTTTACGCGTTGTAATACAATCATACATAAGAGATACGACCCACCTTCCACACGAAGAGGATCTTTGCCACAATTCTTAAGGCCACGACATTGCCTATTAAACACAGCCACGGACCCAATGGCATACTGAGAAAGCAAGTCGACCATCCACCATGGCTTTCTCTCACTTCTGGTTTGAATACAAGACAGGTGTTCAACGTCGCCATCTACATTGCCATCAATGGCCGCGGCAGCCTTTGTACTGATGTTTTGATCAATCGATGACTGTGTTGCAACTTTATCAAGTGCAAGATTGTTTAATTCTACAACATAATGAGACCAGATGACATTATACATGCTTGTATTATCAAGATATTGCGATGTGTCTCGTACATTGTCGTTACAATCATCTTTAATAAAATGATTACTTGATGGCCGAAAAACAGCAACTTCACAGAGTGATAGATATAATAAATCCCTGTGTTGCAGCTGAATCCTCACATAGCGCCCCCTCAATCCACTTGGACAGTAAAACATCTGACAGCCTTTTTTACAAGATTCCAATGTACTTCTGAAGTAGGTACATAATTTCCACTTTTTTGAGTCTTTGCTGACTTCAATTTTGAAATTTTGAAGATGATCTATAAAAAGTTGAAAATACTACAGTAGTTAAGAAATATAGACCGAAAAGCAGGGGTAATATTATATTAATATTATATTGATATTACCCCTGCTCTGTCGTCTATATTACGATTCGAACATGAAAACTCACCAAAATGTTTCGATGGTCCGCCATTACGACGACCTACCATTATGACGTCACACATTACACGTATTACCAGGGGTATTGATCGCGAATATACCCCGGGTGAAATGTTGACTTTGTTTACAGTTAATAGAAGGCGTGAATACAGTCATGTTCGAATAGTTATTAAAACACATTTTACCCTTTCTCTATATTTTACAATTTATACAGTTTCTACTTATTTAGCACAACGTTTATTGTGAATGAATTACACGGTTTCGGTTTCTATTGAAATGTCCGCCCCTGATTTATTTATGAAGTTGTGTCAATCATTGCCTCTTCATGCGTGATTGAACAGTTTGGATATTTGTGTTCTATTTTGTCTCCTGATAGGTTTCAGATGTACATTTGTATTTTGTCATTTATGTATATAATATTATGTATGTGTTCCCCGTTTAACACTGGTAGCTGTTTCATACAATTATTATGTAATATGAATTTGCAGATAGCCACCGTCATATTCCAAGGCGCTAATGTATACATATACATATGATCATATAGATTTTATATGTATCTGATGTATAGTTTGATGTGGATTTGGGTTACCAAATTTCATCAATTGGGGAATATACCTTCTACTAGTGGTTCATAATCGGTTGGAGGACTTCCACAATTGTTTTCGCCACATTGCCTGTTAATCAGCTTGACGGATCCAATTGGATAAATATCATGCAAGTCAACCATCCACCAATAGTATAGTTTCCATATAGCTTTTGAAATCTCGCTAAATCTCGTTTTTCGTGAGATTTTAAGAGACTTGCATATTAGACCTCTAATGACTTACATTACCTTCTTTCAAATGGTATATTTGAATTCAGTGAAATATTTTCTCATAAAATAGCTTTGATTTACACAGTTATGTAATTTGAATAATTTTCTATGACAATTTAAAAAAAGTCGGGCCAAATGTCCATAGATGCAATGCTAAAATTCTTTAAAACCGTGGATTATTTGTATGTCAATCAACATTAGCATGTTTAATCACAACATGTTCATAAACAGGGTCATCATGTGGTATATCATTCAAGTTTTATACAGATTCAACAAACACACTTTGATAAATCATGAAATTAAGCCACTTTTCCAAGATTTTAGCATGTAAGTGAATGGAGCTCTAGCCCGAGTTAAAAGCTGAATAAAAGATGGCAGCACGAGATTTCATTGATTTTTCTGCTATTTAGAAACTATCCTATTCATGGTTGTCATGTGAGTATGGGTGCATGAGCCATGGTTGTATTCGCCATCCTCTACACCATCGACAGCAAGACCAGCATTTAATGCCGAGGATGAGGATTGGGAAGCAGGTTTCCCAAGTGCCAAATTTTGGACATCTAAATCACACATGCAATTCCACAAATCTATCTATCCGTAGAAAACATTGTGAAGATACTAATCTTCACAAACCATAAAGAAAAAATGTTGCCAAAATAATTTACAAAAATAAGTGTTTATCCGAATAAACACTGCCTTAATGAGTTGTAAATATAACTTTTCTTGAACAAATGGACAAAACTATTGAATCGATTGTTGATAGTTGAATACCTGTTTCCTTCCAGATAGTGCCTCCACACCATGGTTTATCTGCTTTACAAAACGATAAACCTAAAACATATGGTTATTTTATAATTCGGGGTTCTATCATTTAGGTGCTCACCTTCCATACAACTCTGAATATGCTTGTAATTATTAAGATCAGTGAATACATAATATGAAAATTTTAAAGCTCGAGCTAAAAGTAAAGTACTGCTGATGATAGTCGCAAAATTGCAAAAATGCAGAATATCATTACATATTTTGTTGACGATTGCACTGTTTTGAGTGCGATTAACTCCATTAGACGTAATAGTTTAATAATCAGTGAACTTACAACAGGCCACAAATAATAGCTTCCACATTGTTGCGTCTATGGGCTAAACAGGTAGGTTCTACCTATGTCCTGTAATTTCAAGCAAACTTTCATTTTAAGAACATTGGATAGTTTCAAAATAACAATACACAATTGCCATCTAGGGGCAGGTATAGAGTGGTGTAGCCAGGAAGAAAGGGCGCTCCTCTGTCTTATTTTGACTGCACTACAGATATAGTGTTATAGCACTTGGATTTCCTTGGGATTCAATTTATAAGGAGGGTATAGTTTGATACCTGGTATTAAGTTATTTTGAAGAACAATCGTGGGATATACCTCATTCGGATCGAAGTTTCCATTAGATCTTGTAAAGGCATCAAAGACATTTAATATATGTTGATCATACAACGACTTCTTAATAATTCTTAATAAATTCAGTTTGCAGATTCTGGAATTATTAAGTTATAGAAAATAATTGAAGAATTATGATGAATAGTTATATCCTTTTTTCAATATTCATCAATAAATTCATGAAATTAGAATAGAGAATTTTGTAGAACTTTCAAGAATATAACTGTATAACAACATCTTCATAATTCTTCATATAATTGTTCTTTCATATTCTGAAATGTTCAATGTAATAAATGAAGAATAATGATGCAGTTATACATTCTTAAAATTATCAATAAATTCATAAGATAAGAATTAAAAATTGGAGAACTTTCAAGAATATAAAGGCATCTTCAAATTCTTCATAAATTCATCTTTCAATTTGGAAGTTTAGCTGTAACAATGGAAGAATAATGATGCAATCATACATTCTTCGACATTTCGAATGAATTCATGTAATAACAAAAACTTTATTTGGAGAATTTTCAAGAATACAAAGATATCTTCATGAATTCATCTTGCAGAGTCTTGAATTTTCCCACTGTTATAGAACTTATTTGAGGAATTATGCTGAATCTTTAAACATTCTTCAATATTATTTAATAAATTCATGAAACAGGAATTCACACACGGGAATTTCGCGTCATAATTATTCCTCCGCTTGGTGCGCTGTTGTGCATAGCAACGTCCTATGCAACGTGTATAAACATCGCACGGACGTATAAGTACAACCCATCATTTTTTCATGTTTGCAATGAAATCTTCTATTCAGATAGGTGTAATGATATGATTTTCTTTTATAATATATAGTTAAATAGGCATGATACATATCATCGTGTTTCTAAAGAATTGCTTATTTTAATCCTGTTTATTTCAAGTTGATAGGTTCAATATTAGTAAAGTTACGGCTTCAGTATGGAGGGCAATTTATTCGTTAATTAAAAACCGCATCGTCAGCAAAGATTTGACGAAAACACAACATTTTTGCGCCGGTGGCATTTCTTCATTTATGGATGAATCATTATCAAATTTGAAACACGTTTGGGCTAAATATACAAATTGTGTCTTGTCCTAGGCATGTAACCTTATTGCTGTATTGTAAGTCGGTATAATTACAATCAAACTTCATCTTTTTTCAAAAGTTTCGTTTAATTTCCAATTATACCTCCTTACAATACCTCAATATCCGGTTACATGAGATTTTAAAGCCAACTGGGCACATAGGTCAAAAGGGGAAATTAAGTAATATAAATTCCCTTCAAGGTCAACTGACTGATAAACAATAGACAAATTATGTACAATAAACAAATAAAGCATATTGTTATTAATAAACTACTTAATACAATTTTGACATTGTTTTGTCAATGCAAACTCAAACATTTTATGTATTTTTATAGGCTTAAGACCGCTTTACCAAACGTTTTTTCATTATCAATGTCCAAAGGTTTATTATAAAACCTCCTGAAACAACAATCACTGCTCCATCCGGCAGTTTTCAAAATCAAGTCCACATTTACGTCAGATCTGCTAGCCGCAGAAACTGCAGCACTACGAGTGCTATGACCTTTGAAAATATCTGTATCAATACCAGCTCTACTAAGTTCAAGTTTAAGCCAACGACTTATTGTATCTTTAGACACTGCTTTATGGGGCTTGATAGTACTAACAAACAATTTTGATTCACCAGCCCTTAATTTTTCAGTTCGTTGTATGTACTCTTTCAACGTTACTACAACACAGAGACTTGGGTCATCATACGTATGGAGTTTGATAATTGGATTTGATTTTCCAGGTTTTGATTGTTTTACATTGTCATATATTGTAAACACATAGCAGTCCTTCTCAATTATGAGATTGTTTAGTGACAATAGATGTAACGTTTGTGCTCGTTGTGCAGAAACCAACGCAATTAGCATGATAAGTTTCAACGTTAATTCAAGCAATGTTATTTTTTCTATTGGGAAATAACTCTGCAAATGTCTCAGAACCACACTGACATCCCAAGTTTTCGTATATCTGGGTAAAGGGGGATTCTTATTAAAGATACCTTTCATAAACCTCACCACTAGAGGGTGTTGCCCAAAAGATGTCTCTATTTTGGGAAAGTTAATACATGATGAGAGCGCACTGCGAGCGGTATTAATGGCACTGTAGCCTAGATTATCTACTGATAATGTCATTAAAAATTCCAAACCTAACTGTAAAGTTCCTTGAACTGGATCAATTTCCCTCGTATTACAGAACGAAATCCATCTCTTGAGATAAACCTCGTATTGTTTCTGTGATTTGGGTCTCCAAGATTGTAGGATGATTTCGGTAACTGGGACAGAAAGTCCTTGTTTCTGGAGGGAATTCCTGACAAGTGACAAGCAATTAATGTCAGTTTTCTCAACGGATGTTGTGCCTCTGGATTGTATGGTAGGCTTAGGATCTTCCGTCCTTGGGGTAGCACAACTGGATGTGTGGTTAAAAGGTTCAACATCTTTGGCCACCACGGTTGAGTGGGCCAGAGGGGTAAGATCAAGAGAACGTCGGCTCTGTCGTGTTGAATTTTGTTCAGCACTCTCATCAGAATACTGAAAGGCGGAAAAGCATAATAAGTGACCATACCATTCCATGTTTTTGAGAATGCATCAATGAATTCAGCTTCTGGATCTGGTCTCCAAGATGCGTACTTCCCAAGCTGATTGTTCAATCTTGATGCGAACAAATCTAGAATTGGATTGGGAAACATGTCAATGTTGCAAATATCTGCAAAAACCTGTTCATCAAGCATCCATTCAGTCTCATCATGGAAAATGCGAGACTCGGAATCAGCTTCGACATTTTCAATACCTGCAATGTGAGATGAAGACAGCCAAATGTCACGAAAAATACACCATTGCCATATTTGTTTGGCTAGAATATTGCAGTCAATAGATTTTGAGCCACCCATGTTGTTGACATATGTCATAGCTGTAGTGTTGTCAGTCTCGACTCTCACGTGTTTGTTTCTAACAGACCTACAAAAGGTTTTGAGTGCAAGAAATATTGCTAATAATTCCAGGTAATTAATATGGTGTCTAGACTCAACGTAGTTCCACCGTCCACCAGTTCTGGTATTATTTGTCACATCAAACACACCCCATCCTGCCATGCTACTATCTGATCGCAATACATGCTGTGGGTCTATAACAGAGATAGGGTTAGTGGCATTTTTAATATGACGAATCCACCACCTGATTTCATTTTGTGCATCAAGATTCAATGCGATCTTCGTGTCAAAATTCCCACAGTTTTGGGATAAAGCTAACGATTTATTGTTATCCATGTGACGGTAATATAACCGACCATACCTGACACCAGGAAACGAAGCTACCAATGTTCCAATAAGTTTTGCAAGCTCTCTTATAGAGATCTTGTTTTTTCGACGCAACGTTTCAATGCATAGCGATTGAATAGCGACTGCTTTGGTTTCTGGTAACTTCACTTCCATGGTGTTAGAATTGATTTCGAAACCAAGAAATTTGATTACCTGTTTTGGGATCAGATCACATTTTTCAGGATGTAGCATAAAACCAAGATGCTGTAGGTGGTCAATTGTTGTAGCAATGTTGCGTTTACATTCCTCATATGAGTCTGAAATCAAACAACAATCGTCGATGTAATAAACAGACATGAAACCTTCATTTCTCAGTTTTGCAAAAACTGGCTTCATAATCTTAGTAAAAATGCGCGGTGCAGATGACAAGCCCTGCGCTAAACATGTGTATTGGTATATGGTATTTTTCCACTCAAACTGAAGGAACTTCTGAGATGTCTCAGACACAGGTACGCTATAGTACGCGTCTTTTAGTCCAAGGTACTCATATAGCAATTTCCGGTTATCATGTTTATGACACTTTGAAAGTTTTCCATTTTGAAATGTGGAATTCCACATGTTCATTGAGATTTCTCAGATTCAGAATTGTTCTTTTTGTACCATCACTTTTAGGTGTGAGGAAAATTGAAGATAAATAGCCAATCTTTGAATGCTCAACTGGTTTTAAAATGCCTCTTTCGAGAAATTTTTGAATTTCGGCTTCTACAGCTGAGCATTCTGAATCTGAGAAAATCATTGGTCGTGGATGGTCAGATCGTGGGATAGCGTTAACATCGATAAATTCAATATCATATCCAGCTATTGCATTCAAAATAGTTTGATCAGAAGTGATTTTCTCCCATTCTGATTAGAAGTATTTCAATCTACCACCTTTGAAATGTTTTAATTGAGATCTAAGAAAATCTCTTACCTCACTAGGTTCATGATCATTTGCAGCTACTTGTTGGACTGTTTGTTGTCCTGGTTCTGGGCCGTGTTGCCTCTTCCTTTTCCTCGAGAGGATTTGTTTTGGGCGTAACCCTGCCGCTGACTGTAGTTGCGATTCTGGCCTTGGCCTAAAAAATGATTCTGGCCTCGTCCACGTCCACGTGCGCACGTCCACGGTTTCCTCGGCCTCGATAACTGCCACGATAACTGCCTCGAGACTGATTAAAGACGCTTGAGTTAATCTGGGTCTTATTCATTTCTGAAATATCCTTGACTCTCTTGGTAATGTCATCCCCAAATAAAAATGTTGTTACAGGGGAGGTTTTGTCGCAGAGATGTTTGAAACTATGGGCAATGTCTGGTTTTATCAGTTCACGCCTTCTCATGTTAAACTTGTAGTTCGACAAACACATCATTTGGATGCTGTCATAAAGCAAATTTGCCATATTGCCAAATTGATCTTGGAATTCATCCGTCTTTCCTCCGACTGCAGTTTTCAGTGAATCCAATACCTCTAAGGCTCTAGAAGTAGCCACTATGGAACATATCATTGGCTTGAGAGCTTGTTGCATTTTGATGTCACTCGAGCGGACCTCACTAGAGATGCGGCTCCATATTTGTTCGTTCCCCCTAGCAGCACATACAAGAGGGGTATTCGAAGGGGTTTTGTAATCATCAAGTTTTTGGCTTTCTTCGTCTCCCTTCAAAACATTCTTTATTAGATCATTTAGTAGGCTTGACATAGCCTTGTTTAATGGTGGTCCTTGACCCTCATTTGATTTATTGACCTTTGATTGTAACTGTTTCATTAGGTCGGAAGTATCCTCATTTTCACTGGATACTGTATCATTGTCTATACACGTTTGCATATCAGTTTTCATTTTCTTCACTGGTGTTTGATCAGAATCATCATGATCATTATCATTATACGAATCATCATCATACTGGTCATATTCGTATCCACTTTGAATGGTTTCTTTTAAATCTTGCAATGAAGATGACATCATTTCCGTCAAGTCACTCATGCCTGAAGAAATACTAGATGTTATAGCCTCCGTGATGTTTTTAATATCATCGTTCTTTCCTGATTTCCTAGGAATTGTTTTTCGAGGCGTTTTCTTTTTTACACCTGATACAGACGGAGTTTCGTCTAGGATGGAATCATCTAAATCCATTTTCTCACATTCAGATGGGGTCTTGGCCCCTAATGGTTTATCTCTCACCATTTGTGAAGTCATTTTAGCTGTAACTTGCTAGTACTGTTTAGTAAATGCACTGATATTTAGCTGCTCAGAATGCGAAAACATGCAGCTTTTTTGAACAACTTATTTGCACGTAGGCTAGTGATATTGTAAGCATGTGCTCACGCGTAATATTCACTTTTACTTTATCGCAATTGGCTAACAAAAGAACCGTTTGACTGAAAACACAGTGGAGTGTGTGCAAGTGTGCAACGTAACTTTTAAACCAATCCAAGGCCTGGTTTATAGTTAATTAGCGTGTATTAAATACAACGCTCACTTGATCCCTATAGGAACAGTTATTCAATAGCGTATTCAATAAGTTAATAGATGTAAAACAAATCGCTATAACCTCTGATCAGGTTTGAAGCGTTGTTATTTATCAATATAAATTGAAGGTTGAGATCTCAGATCTACAACAGTGAATACTATTTTCTGAAACAACCAGACTTGGCCGGTGTTCAGAATGTGTAATGATAAAAACACTACTTTCTTATCGTACATGAAATTCAGACGTACCGATCATAAATTCCATAAATACATATAAATATTTATCCCATACTTGGACGTGTTACGGGTACATAAAGCCGGTTTGTAAAAACTTATATTTTGATCAGCGGGCAGATATAGCTTTACGTCCCGCTCCGAGCGGGCAGATATAGTATATCTGCCCGCTACGTCATAATCGCCGCTCGCATATTTGTTCATAATTTGTAACGTTCGCGTAATGACTGTAAACTACAATGGAGAAAACACAGACAATCGGGATCTGTTTGATGGTTTAAAAAAGGGAAAGAGCATCCACTTAATCAATCAAAAATTCGAGAAAATAAATGTGGGAATATTTGAGAGAACAGGAAAATCAACCCACGGCCAAGAAAACAAAACTGGACATGAATATTCTAAAATATTTCCACGATTGAACAATGTAAACCAGATGGCCAAGATTGGTATGGGATAAACATATTATCCTATAGTCGGTTCAGGATATTGGGATTATCCCTTGGCCAATATAATATATTTTCCCTCGGGACCTGCGGCCCTCGGGCAAATATATTATATTTGCCTCGGGATAATCCCAATATCCTGAACCTCATATAGGATAATCTCTATGTATGTGATATATGTGCACTGTGATATACTACCACCAGTAACACTATCAATTGTGGAGTCTACAAATAGACGTCCACTCGGCTTGCATGTCAGCAAGAACTCTGATTGGCGCATGCGCAGAACTATCTCATGTAACCGGATATTGAGGTATTGTAAGGAGGTATAATTGTTTTCTGAATTGACAATAATAGTAAGTTGGCTCTTACTAATTATGCTGATTGTGCCTGTTTTAGAAGTTGGATGAAAATGGAAAGTTTCCCATACTCGCTTGCCAGTTTGGTTTTCATTTATGAAAACTTCATACCTTGGTAACCCAAGATGTGAAAACCTCATATACCTTAAATATCCAAGATGTTTAAACTACCATGGTTATCCAAAATGGTATCTAAGATGTGAAAACTTCATACCTTGGTAATCTAAGATGTGAAAACGTCATACCTTTGTTATCCAGTATGTGAAAACCTCGATTCATATCTTGGTAATCAAAGATTTGAAAACTTTATACCTCGGTAATCCAAGATGTGTTTTTGCTGACAGTGATCAACAACGAACCCGTATTTAGGAAAACATCAGAGATGAATTAAATGAAGTATTGTAAAATGCCCATAAACTGAGCTTGAGGTTGTCTAATGGCTTTGCTATTTGTATATGGTTTAATGGTAATAGTGCCTACGTGCCATAAAAATATATGCTATTTCAATCAAACCACAGAATATTAATCTATGGTTTTCAGTAACATTTCAAAAGCATAAAGACAGGGTCTGCATAAACAGATAATTTTATGCTGTTATTTCAACTATATTAATTAGTATATACAAAGCAAAATGAAACCACAGACCATAGTTTAATGTATTGAATAAATATTTATTTCCATCTTAAAAAGGCGTATTTATTCCACATTTGTCGTGTCCTTTGAACGGAGAAAAGTCAATCTAAAGGTAAGTTGAAAAATCTAGTTTTATTCAATGGAAATGACAAATGGCATTAAAATCGACAATAATTACCTATAAAATGTAACTCTTTAATCGCTCATTTGATATTGATCAATATAATATAATGTAAATTTTAGCCTCTGACTAACTCCTCAAGAAATTTTTTTTATTGTTAGGTGTCATATTGTTAAGAAATGAAATACCTTTAAATGATATGTAATATATGACATGGATTAACATATAAATATATGTTTTTCTAACTTGGGTATTACTTTTTGGCCCACTCTCAATATAATGATCATATAATTATGAAGTATGGATGCCACCATCCAACAATGGACTCGACCTTTCGTGTACGGTTAAATGATGTAATTCAATGAAAAGTAAAATATCGAAAAAGCACTTCAGTTCGCCATTTTTAAAAATAATGTAACTTGTTTGCCTGATACTGACCGGGTAATTGATTACATATTATATTCCAGACCGAAGCAGTTTCGCCCAGATTAGTGTGAAAGTGATTAACCATACGGATGTTTAACATAGAATCGTACTTGGCAATATGTAAGCACATTAATCAATGATTTTAGTTTTACCACAGAATATAGAACTTGATTTTGAATTGCAATATAAAAGCAGATCTTCTGTGAATTTAGGATCGCTGGTTGCGATTTTGACCTACCTCATATTGTTGTTTATCAAAAAGCAATTATAAACTATTGATAATCAAGGCTATATCTTATTCCATTGCCAATAATTGATATTTCCTTGGTTTAGGTGTATTGTGTATTCACACGGGTAGAGCTGAAAAACAATGCAGAGGCTCTGTATGGAAGGAGACAGGTCAGAAATTTATATGTGTAAATATAAATTTGAATGTAAACATGATGGGTGTGGTGTGAGATCTTGCAACATGTCTTTACAATATATTCAGACATTCCAATTGGATCTCAACAAATCAGTTTAGAAAAGTATAGTGCGTTAAATGTATTCGTATATGAGTAGAAAAATGAAAAATGTGCATTGACTGGGTAATGATACTATAATATATATGCAAAATATATGCTAAAGATATTTTGAAATGTAACAAAATAAAATAAAGTAATATAATTATATCTCTTATGTTTCTTTTGTACAGACACAGAAAATTTGGCGCTAGGGAAACCTTCCTCACAATCTTCGCAATTCGATGCTGGTCGTGCTGTTGACGGTGTTGAAGATGGTGACTGGGGCCATGGGTCATGTATGCACACAGACTTCGAGAACAAACCATGGTGGATGGTTGACCTACAGGCAGTTTATCCCATTGGATTTGTCAAGTTATCAAACAGACAGTGTGGGGAAGACAATTGCGGTGGTGGACACTCCGACATTGTTGAAGGTGACCATCAAGCTAATTTAGTTTAAACAGGCAATGCGCCTATTTTGAAGGAAAAGGGACAAAATATTATTTGAGACATGTCACTCACACAGTCAATCAAATATGATAAAAACTTTAATTTGGGTCAATACTGAAGTGAAAAAAAATTACTCGCATAGAAAACAGCATTTGCAGTTCAGAGATCAAAAGAAGTGAATTACCACTTTTCACAAAGTGTATGTTTTTAAATAACTCTTGGATTAAAAGGTGGCGCATGGCTGAAAATCCTATCATAAATGAATGGAAAATTAATGCAAACAACAATCTCATCTTTCTATGACATTGCTAAAAACTTGACATATATAAATTGATAGATCAAAAATATTGTTTCATGATCTAGTGTCAACTCTGACGTGGTATGTACGTTTGAGCTGTTTTTGGTGTCAAATGAAAGATCATATACTTATTTATCCATTGGAAATACAATGAAGATCAAAAGTGAGACTTCATTTACGCACTTTTTCCCTTTAAATACAATTAATTGAATATACAGACAGGTTCCCTGGCACTCAACATTCATATTACAGGTAATTCATGTTTGAATGGTCTGTTGGGTACATATATATATAAACACATATCGTTTAAGATTATGGTTAAGAAATTGCAAGAGTGGAGTTGAAAGTACAATGTAATCATCAAGCTATTTCAGCTGAATAACAATTTGTAGAACACTCAGTCTTGTTACTTGGCAATTTACACTCATTTGGCAGGAAAATTGTTATGTCAATCTATCAGATACATTAAACTGAGGTGGATCCCGTCTATGGCATTAATAGTTGAGAAATAGGGATCGAAACCAGCCATAGTTTTCTCCTGATGACCATTGTGAATTGTTGTGTTTTATGGATTATGATGACGGCTTTGCGAACGGATGTTGACCCTTTGAATTGCCTATGGACTTCGAGGCTGGATTTTATCTATCCCACATCATTTGAGACTGAATACTCTTTTATGAGTACTATTATCTACAACTATTTTTGATGTTATGAGTATTGGCTATCAATTTTTTTCATTTTTTCTTCAACGTGTATTGTAATGACTTCAATATGAATGAAATGTCCCTTGGTGTTCTGAGGCCTCATTATCATCTGGTCGCAACGCAAAATCGCATGCGAATCGCATCGCAAGACATCGCAACGCAACTATTTCCCAAAAATGTTATTATCATTCCATCGCATCGCAAGTCTGACGCAAAGTTATCGATTTTCTGATCGCAACTAAACAAAAAGTTGCGACGACGTTTACCCTGTCGCAAATCAAATCGCAAATCTATGTTAATGGATATTTTGCGGTGTTTTATATCGGTCGTTTCACTACCTGTTAAGTATTAATCAATAGTATCGAAGTAATTGTTAAATTTTATTTATTTAATATGATTAAAATACACATTTAATTGAGCCTGTAAATCCTTAAAAATCACGTTTGTTTCTAAATATTGAGAACGCATCACATACTGTATACGTCTTAGATTGGTGCCTGCAATATTTCGTGCTCTTTGGAGCATAGGATTTTCGCCAATTAAATATTTATCTAGCTAATTAAGCTTGTTTGGTGAATTAATCTTGCCACTACTACACTAATGTTCTGAGTATTCCTAGTGTATATGTATCTCACCTACATCGTATGCAAAAGTACAAGAACACCAAGATGTTTCATTTTATTCTGGATCACCACAATCGTATTGGCCGAAGAGTATTTCGAGATAGGTTTATCCCACTCGATTCACTTAATGACATCGAGCTGCTCCAGAGATACAAAATGCCGAGAGCATTGTTAATAGAGGTTATAAACCTTTTTGAAGACGAACTGACACCAAAGAATAGGAACAATCATTTCATCCCGGGGTTTCTAAAAATGTTGATCACTATCAGATTCCTGGCAACTGGACAACTCCAAATGTCATCAGGAGATACGTTTGGCATTAGCCAACCATACGTTTCCAATATGATTACAGAAGTTGTTACTATTATGGCAAGGTAAGTTAAGAATATGTAGTTTTCTTTATACTATGTTTTAAAAGATTCTGACAATTCGAAACGCATAATATCGAGTGCAAATCTCAAAGACATCGTGTCTTTGCCATTTAAACCAATTTCTCGGTAGATTTTCTCTATAATTGTTTGCTTTCAACACAAAACACGATTTTGTTTAATCAATGATACATTCACAACAATGTGCTAGAGCAAAGTAGTATGGCACTTCATGAAATACATAATTGTCCCATTATTGTTGCAATGATGCATATCCTGGTAAGTTTTCATAAACAACACTATCTATATTTATTATTGGTATATCAA